CACCGCTGCATCGTATTGCAATTGTAATTGTAACAGGAAATAACAAAATATGTGGGGAGTGGTGGCCAAGAGAGGAGTGTTTTGGATGGGGAAGTCAGAAGGAATGGTGGGTGGAATTATTAAACAATTGATTTATGGTGAGGTCTGATATTAATTTTTTTCTGTCTGGACCTATGAATTGACTGTTGTAGGGAATCTTTGGATTAGCAACTGCTCTGTCGTCTTAGAGAACTTCCCAAGATCTCTAAAGGTTGAAGGGACTTGTCCAGGGTCACAAGGCCAGCATGTGTCAGAGGTGGCTAGCTTTCAGTCAACCATCCTCCAGTGCTGGGTCTCTCCACTTGATTGCAAAATGACATTGTTGGGACAGTATTATGTGAAATTTCTAAACATCTCACCCTAGGCTCATTCATTCAATAAACATTTATTAAACACCTACTATGTGCCAGGCATTGTGCTAAGCACTGCGAATACAAAAAGAGACAAAAGACAGCACCTGCCCTCAAGGAGCTTACAATCTAATAGAGGAGACAACATGCAAACAACATTTACAAAGCAAGCTCCATAAAGGATAAATAGGAAATAATAAAAAGAAGGAAAGCAGTGCAGTTAAGAGGGGTTGGGGAAGGCTTTCTGTACAAGGACGTTGTGTTTTGTTGTTCTCTACGATATTTGGGTATAATAGGACAAACAAGCTTCACTCTCTCAGGCAGCAAATTCTGTCAAGGAACAAAGACAAAGCAAAATTGATGGTTTTGAATACTGGTAGGGTTGATCACCTCAGGCCAATGGCAGGTACACTGATCTCATGGCTTTAAATGGATTCCAACAAGGCTTTGTAAGTGCAGTGCACATCTTTTAGGTTCTATAGGAACGTAAAGTTTGCTTGGAAAAGAAATTTTTAAATAGAATGATTTTTAAAGTACTATAGTTATTTTGAAGGATTATGACAATTATGTTCATAGTGTTAGACTAAAAGAGCCATTGGAGGGCATCAGTCCAACCTTCTCATTTTACAGACTCAGGAAAGTAAAGGCCAGACTTTAAATGACTCGCCCAGGATCACACAGCTAATAAGTAGATGAGACAGGATTTGAATCTAGGTCTTCCTGACTCTAAATCCAGTGTACTATATTCCTCTGCTTCATTTTACAGATTTCCTATTTTACAGATGTGGAAACTATAAAAGATCAAATGAAATAATATTTGTAAAGAGCTTAGCACATAGTAGGCACTTAATAAATGCTTGTTCCTTTCCCTTGTTGCCTTCATCTTTGGGCCTCAATTTCCTTATCTATAAAATTAGCAGGGTTTGGACTAGAATCAGAAGTGTCAGACTTATCAGGGAGGCACGTGGCCTGCAAAACACTCAAAGTGGGCCCAAACCAGATTAAAATGTAATGGAGAAATGTTTAACGAAAAAATATATAAAACCTATATATGTATAACCACTCCAGTGGTTTTGTAAGTCAACACGCAGCTGGCAAGGATCCAGTTTCTATCTGAGTTTGACATCACTGGCCTAGATAATCTCCAAAATCCTTTCCAGCCCAATTCTATGATCCTATGAATAAAAAACATTCAGAGAACCTCTTATACAAGCTGAAAGGAACCCACAAGGTCCCTCGATCACACTGGGAACCTCTTTACTCACTTTCCATTGTCAGTAATTATTGAATTTGTTAGAAATGCAATTAATTTTGTTTTTTTTCTTAGTGAAAGAAATGTTCATGATTTAGTTGTTTCTACATTTGTGTGTGTGTGTGTGTGTGTGTGTGTGTGTGTGTGTGTACGCGCATCTCCAGAATATCAATCAATCAGGGGCAGGTCATGCAGTGAGAATGGGAAGCAACAGAACACATCTCAATCATAGGACAATACCCTCAGAGTTCTCCAGTGTTTTGGGGAGGTCCTTTACGGAGGATTTATGGGAAAATCTGGACAGAAATCAGATAGTCTGAGGTATAAGTACTCACAATGGTGAAATTATAGCTCTATCGAAGTAGGTGAAAGACCACACTTTTCTCTTACTTAGGGGCAACATGTTATAGTGGAAAGAGCACTGAATTTAAAACCCAGGGTGGAATTCTCCAGTTAATTTTTTTTTAAGGAAATTGAGGTTAAGTGACTTGCCCAGGGTCACACAGCTAGTGAGTGTCGAATGTTTTGTCTAAGGTCAGATTTGAACTCTGGTCCTTATTTCAGAAGCTGCCCCTGCCCAAAGCTATATAGCTCATTAAGTGGTAGAATTAGGATTTCACCCCAGGGGCAGCTAGGTGGGGCAGTGGATAGGGTTGTTATGAGGCTCAAATGAAATGATGACAATAATAATAATAATAGCTAATATTTAGATAGCCCTTTAAGGTTTGCAAGGTGCTTTACATATATTATCTCATTTGATCCTCACAATAATCCTGTAAGGCAGATGCTATTATTATCCCCATTTTACAGATGAAGAAACTGAGGCAGACGGAGGTTAATTGACTTGCTCTGGATCACAGAGCCAATAAGTACTTGAGACTGGATTCAAACTCAGGTTTTCCTGACTCCAAGTCCCATGTTCTATCCATTCTATCCATATAAAGTGCTTTGCAAGCTTTGAAATGTTATATAAATGTCAGATATCATTATTATTATCCTTTTAACTTTAGCGACAGCGTGGTGTAGAGGATAGAAGAGCTGTCAGAAAGACCTGGTTTTAGGGCAGCTAGGTGGTGCAGTGGATACAGTACCGGCCCTGGATTCAGGAGGACCTGAGTTCAAATCTGGCCTCAGACACACAATAACACTTACTAGCTGTGTGACCCTGGGCAAGGCACTTAACCCCATTGCCTAACCAAAAAAAAAAGACCTGGTTTCAAGTCCTGCCTGATGTATACTAGCTTTGTCATCTTGGACAAATCATTTCACTTTTTCAGCCACTCAGGCAATTCTCTTAACTATGTTATACAGGAGGGGCTGATCTGCATCTGTGGAGGGCATTGCTATGCTGGAAGTTCCCTCCATGGATGAAACTACAGGTTTAGGGAGAAGAAAGAATCTAGGAACAGGGGGTTTTCAGTTGTGTCAAAAAATTGGCAGTACTACTTGCCCTCTCCTCTTTGGTCCAGAACAAAACTCATATCCGCCCCCACCCAAAACAAAACAAAACTTCCCCAATCTCTGTCCTAAACCCCAGGCTTACAACACCAACTGCCTGTTGAAAATCTTCAGCTGGATGTTCTATAGACATTTTAAACATTTTCAAAACAGAACTAATTCTAGTTCTCTCTTAACCTCTTCCTCTTCTTCTTCCTCCCCTTCTCCTCCTACGTACTCCTGTTCAATCACCCAGATTTATAACCTCAGCATCATCCTCAACTCTCCTCTCTCTAACCCTCTCCCCCTCCCTCACCACATTCAATCAGTTTTCTTGTTCTGCCCATTCTACCTTCACAACTTCCCTCTCATCTCTCACCTTCTTTCCACTCACATGCTCACCACCGTTCCAGGTCTTTATCACCTCTCTTCAAAACCTGGACTATTGCAACAGCTTCTTAGTAGCCCCCTCCCCTGGCCCCTGCAGCTTCTGGTCTCTTCTCTCTCCAATCCACCCTCTACACAGCTGGCCAAATAATCTTCCTAAAGTATGCCTGATCATGTCATTTGTGCCTCTGTACCTTTGTATAGGCACTTTGAATAAAAAAAGGGGGGGGGTGGCTAGGTGGCACAGTGAATAGAGCTCTGGCCTTGGAGTCAGGAGGACCTGAGTTCAAATCTGGCCTCAGACACATAACACTTACTAACTGTGTGACCCTGGGCAAGTCACCTAACCCCACTGCCTAGCCAAAAAGAAAAAAAAGAAAATTTAAATATATATATATATGTATATATATATATATATATATATAGCTTTTGGCAAAGTATTTAAGGTCTTTTTTTTTCTGTTTCAGTGTCTTCTAGTAAAATGAGTATAATCGTATCTGTCTTACCTATCTGACCAGATTATAGAAATCAAAGGCATAGTGGAAAACACTAGGCCTGGCGTCAAGATGAACAGAGTTCAAATCCAGCCCCACATACTTACTATGTGTGACCTTAGGCAAGTCACTTAACCCTGTTCACCTCATTTTTTTCATCTCTAAGATGAGCTGGAGAAGGAAATGGCAACCACTCCAGTATCTTTGCCAAGAAACCCCTCCCCCCAAAGAAAAGGGGGTCACTGAGACTAAAGCAACTAAATAACAACAATATGTGTAGAGTGTTTTGTGATTATAAAGCATAATATAGATAGGTTTTCTGTTTTGTTTTGTTTTACCAATATTACCGTGGGCAAAATGAGTACCTGATTTAGACATAAAGGGTGATACCGTAAACAAATTAGGACAGTGAGGAATAGTTTACCTGTTGGAGTCATGGAGAAGGGAAGAATTTATTCTTTTGATCAGGTCACTTAATCTGAATCTCCAATTCCTTATATAGAAAAAGTGAATACACCAAGGAATTCTCTCATTGGTGATGCAGCTAGTTGAGTGTTAAGATGTAAGTTTAGAAACCAAGCTATCCTGACTCCATAGCATCACTTTATCCCATTTACTATACTGATTCTTATTCTGCCAACTATCAGGAGTTTAGATTTGAGGAAGGGCAACCTGGAAAGAAGGAGGGTAGTTAGGAGGTTGCTGAAATCATTAAGGACACTAATCTCTGTCCTGTCCCCCTCACAGAGCTGTGGTGAAGGTCAGGTGTATGTATGGATGCCATACAAATAAATGTCAAAAATGTTAACAGTAATAATAGTAATCATAAACTCTAATAAGAATGAACAAAGAAATTTGAATAATGACAATAGCTAGCATTTATATAGAGTTTTAAGGTTCGAAAAGTGCTCTATGCCTATCACAGCTAAGAAAATAGTTTGGTATTAGAAAAACTGAACAGTACTATTTTCAAAGAGATGATAGAGGTTCAACATGCTGCAGTACTTGTGAGACAAAACATTGACATTCAGAAATACTTGCCAGTGATTGGGCTTTTCTCAGCTTGGATCTGTCTTGAAATTTATTTTTCTTGTTATGTGATTGTCGGCTGAAATCTGAGGCCTGTTCATTTCCTTTCTTCTTTCTATAAATTGAGAAAAGAAGCACTAGCAAAAATCAAAAATGAAGAGGTGAGTGCCAGTTTTGCATAAATAACATGTGAACATTCATCATTGGATTCAACCAATTCAATACAATTTAACACATATTAATCACCTACTATGTGCAAAGTCTATGCTATAGGATGAGGATAAAAACAACAACAACAACAAATTTAAGGAGCTTCTATTCTACTAGGGATAGATATGAAATGTGACATCTGGGAGAGAACACTAACAATTGGGAGATCAGGAAGGGCTTCCTGGAGGAAGTGGCCTGAAGGAAGCTAGGAATCCTAAGAGATCAAGGTGAGGCAGGAGTGCATCAAACATAGGAAAAAGCCTATGCAATGCCCTGGAGACTGGAGCTGGCATGTTGAGTTTGGACAACAGCTAGGAGGCCAGTTTGGCTGAAGCTGAGAGTGCATAAAAGGAAAGAATATGAAAAAAGTATATACACAGAAAGGAGCCAGACTGTAGAAGGCTTTAAACAATCCAAAGGAGAGTTGCTATTTCATCTTAGAGGCAATAGGGAGCCACTAACTGTTTTAAAGCACAGTAGTAACATGAATCAGATCTGTGGAAAATTACTTTGGCAGCTGCCTGAAAGATGGAGTAGAGAATGGAGAGATTGGAAGCTGGGTAACCTATTAGCAGACTACTGCAATAATCCAAAGGCAGCTAGGTGAAGCCATAGTGCATCGAGTGCTGGGTCCTGACTTCAGAGTCAGGAAGACTCACTCATCTTCATGAGTTCAAATCTGGACCCAGACACGTATTAGCTGTGTGACCCTGGGCAAGTCACTTAACCCTGTTCACCTCAGTTTCCTCATCTGTGAAATGAGCCGGAGAAGGAAATATCTTTGCCAAGAGGACCCCAAATGGGGTCACGAAGAATCAGACACAACCAGAATAACACAATGACAACAAAGCAATAATCCAAGCAAGAGGTGATGAGGGCCTAAACTAGTGTAGAGGCTGCCTGAGAAAAGAGAAGGGAATGGATACAAGAGATGTGGAAGTCAGATCAACAAGACTTGTCAAAGGGCTGAGTATTGCACAGATAACACATACCTGGAATCTCTGCTTTGAGGGAGGAGGGGAGAAGAGGCTGTGACCGGTGGGTAGAGTAAGCTCTGGAGTTCTGAGCTGCAGCTGGGCTACAGCCAACAGGTATCCTCACTAAATCTAGCACCTATAGGATAAGCCCCCAAGAGTAGGCTGCCTAAGGAGGGGTAAATCTGTCCAGGTCAGAAATGGAACAAAGCTTCAGCTCAGCTCAGCAGTAGGGTTAGAGTGGCTGCTGTACTTCCAGCCTGGGCGAAATAGGGAAACCCAGTCTCTAAAAATACAAAGAAAAAAGAAAGAAAGAGAAAGAAAAAAGAAAAGACTTGGCAAATGATTGGATATGGGAAATGAGAGAAAGGAAAATATCAAGGACTCAAGGATGATTCTGAAGTTATAAATCTATATGATTAAAATCTTTATATCTTAATGAATGGTCACCTAAGACATCAGAGGATCAATGGACAACTGCTAAGGCCAAAGCCCTTCTATAATGGGACACAGAACAGGTGCCTGGGAAGGGCAGAAATCCAAATTGGAGAGGAAGGCAAGATGAAGATAACAAAAGCAAATTTCAGATTTTGCTCGGGCTCTGTCTTTAGCTGGTAGTGGCAGCTTTGTTGGGGGAGATATCCCAGAATCTCAGCAATACAGGGGACCTCGGGGTCCATCTGGTCCAACACTATATCTGAAAAATAGTCTCCTCTACAACATTGCCATGAAGTGGTCATCCAGCTTTTGCTTGAAGACCTCAAGAGAAAGAGAGTTCACCATGCTCCCAACACAGCCCATTCCAGCTCTAATGGACTGATCTAAAGATTAGAAAGTTTTTCCTTAAATCAGATACAAATTTGTCTTCCAGTAACTTCCATTAATTGCTCCTCGTTCTGCCTTCTGGGTTCAAGCAAGACAAGTCTATTCCTCCTTTTATATAAGAGCCCTTCAAACAATGCTATCAGTCCTCTCACCAAGTCTTTTCTTTTCTAGATTTCAATAAATCTGCATATTCAAAATTCTCCAAGTCCTCTCACTATCCTGATAACTTCCTTTAGTCATATTACAGCCAGTATATGCCCTTGCTAAAATGTGACACCCAAAACTAAATACAATACTTCAAATATATTTTGACCAGTTGAGAATATAGTATCTTTCTCATTCTGGACACTATACCTAAGACTGCATTAGACTTCTTGGCCACCATGTAACACAGTTGACTCATATTGAGTTTTCAGTCCACTAAAATCTCAGATCTTTTTTCAATGAACTACCATCCAGCTACACTTTCTCCATCTTATATTTATGAAGTTGATTTTGGGGGGAAATTATGTGTAATTATATTTATCACTATTAAATATCACTTTATTCGACTTAGTCCACCATTCTAACTTGCTGAGACCTTTCTGGATCAACATCCTGCCATGTCATATGTTAGCTATTCTTTCTGTTTTGTGTCATCTGAAGTTCTGACAAACATGTCGTTCATGGCTTCATCCAAGTCATTGAAAAAATGTTGAGCAGTTCAGAGCTAAAGACAGATCCCTTGAATACTTGACCAAAGACCTCTCTGCAAGTTGACATCAAACCATTAATTATTCTTTGGATCTAGCCATTCAACCAATTGTGAATTTACCCAACTGTAGTATCATTTATTCTAGACCACATTTCTCCAGCTTTTCTACCTCACCACCATGCTTCAGCTGCCATCTTACCCTGGAACATCATTCTACCCCTGTGGCCCTCTTCCCCCATTAATGAATTCCTTCCAGAAGCTCTATTTTGTGGAAGGGCTCAGGGTAACACTATTCCTCTCTTGACTCTGCTTCTGACTCTCAGGACTTGGCAAACTTGCCGCTACATAGATACCTCTCCCTGCCCTCCTCCCTTTCCAATTCCCTTTTATTTGTCTTCCTCCATTAGAAGAATATAAGCTCCTTGAAGGCAGGGACTGTTTTTCTTTGTGCCTGCATTTGTATCCTAACACTTATCTCAGCACTTAGCACACAGGAAATGTTTAATAAATGCTTGTTTACCTTACCTTAGTAAAATTTTTTGCTAATATCTAAAAGAAAAATCGATGCATTTATTACATTCTCCTAATCTACAAGTTGAGTTATCCCATTAAAAATAGAAAAGAAAAGAAAGAAAATGAAGTAAGTTTGCCATCTCCTGTTCTTGCTGGAAACCATTCTGGCTTTTAGTGATCATTGCTCCTCTCTCTAAATGTTCATAAACCACATTCTTAATAAATCCATTCTAGAATTCTGCTGAAAACGGAAGTTAAGCTTCCTCACTGTAGTTTGTACTCTTCTCTTTTTTGAAAGTTGACTCTACGTTTGCCTTTCTTCAGTTCCTATTCCTTTCTCTATAAGCTTTTAAAGATCATTGACAGTGAGTAGGTTCAGCAATCACATCTGCAAGATATTTCGATATCCTTAGAATAAGGAGCCTGAAGGCTTCACACTGACCCAAGACCTAGAAGTATTATTGCCACCATTCACTTCCCCTTTTCTAACATGCCTATCTGACTACTCCATTAATTATGATTTACTGAGTTTTTCCTTAAATCAAATACGAATTTACCTCTCTAAAATTTCCAATAATTCCTCCAAGTTCTGCTTTCTGGGTTCACCAAGACACATCTATTCCTCCTTCTATGTGAGAGGCCTTCAAATGATGCTATTGTTCTTCCCACCACATCTTTTCCTCTCTACACTAATCTGGGCCTCATATCCCGAGTCAAAAGGTAGGCTGTTGTAGTGGACAGAAAGACAAAAACAAAGACAAACTGTAGTAGTGGACAGGAAGAATCATATGTGAGGTGTCAGAACACCTGGATTCTAGTCTTAGCTCTGACATTCATTAGCTTTGTGACTTTAGCTAAGTCACTTCACCTCTGAGCTTTAGTTTCCTCATCTGAAAAATGGGGATGGTGGAACCCACTTCAAAGGGAGGAAGATAAAATGAATAACAGATGAGGAAGTGCTTTGAAAACTCTAAAAACTACAAATGTCTAGATTGTGGTTAACTACTTCACGGGGCATATAGGGATCCCAAAGAGGGTTCTTGTGTCATGGCAGAGGATATAGCCAGATTCTTGTCTATAATAGTAGAGATGGAATGGACTGAGGTTCCCCCTCATTCCCAGGACTACTCTGGAAGGGGCTTTAATCCTAGATCCAGAATAAGTATCATGATCCTCAACTCTAACCTCCTTAGAATCATAAGATCATAGATTTAAAACTAGAAGAGATCTTAGAGGCTCTCTGGTTCAACCTACTCCTTTTACAGATAAGGAAACTGAGGCCTAGGGAGGTTAAATGACCTCTACAATTAGTAAGCATCACGGATGGGAATCAGACCCAGGTCCTCTAAATACAGAATCATTATTCTATCCCCTGTACTGTGCTGCCTCCACCTTGGATCTCTTCATTAACTATTGCATTTCTATCTATAATTAATCAATTATTTGTTTTATTATTAATCAATTATTAACAAATATTTGTTGAACTCCTATCAGGGATGTTGTAGAGAAAACTCCTCTGGGAGGGGTATAGTAGGACTAGATGACATCTAGTGATCCCTTCCAACTCTAAGAGAAAGGGAAAAGGACCCTGAAGCTAAGGGTGGATGGATAGCTGCATATGCCTTTAGATGCTGTATGGTGAAGGACTGGTTGGTTTTCATGAACTATTTTTCTTTGTTGTAAAGCTAGGCTGAACTCAGAGGCAGGAGGGAAGAGTGGTTATTCAGAAATGACAGCAATTTAAAAACAAAAAAGATTACATAAATAAAATAAACAAGTATCAAATAGAGACACAAAGCATTTATATAAATTATATAAAATATGTAAGATATAAGTATAAAAATAAATTAATTAAATTAAACTAAAAACAAAAGAGATTAAATCAATAAAAATACAAGTAAATTAAAGGAAGATTTAAATTAATTAAATTAGATTAATTTAATTTAAATTAATTTAAATTTAAATAATAAATTAAAATTAAATTAAATTAGTAAATTAAAGGACCAGCCAGAAAATAATTGATCTCAAGAGTTAGTTAAGTGCCAGGCACTGTGCTGAACACTTTACATATATTGTATCATTTGAGAAGCCTAAGTAGAAGAAAAGTGAAATTCTCCGGAGTTCACCACAAAGATTGAATTTAAAGTCTTCTACACTCTGGCTTCAACAGTCTTATTTCACACTAGGCTCCATATATACTCTGTGTTCCGACCCGACTATGTCGCAAGCTCCTTCCTAATCTTATTCTGCTTCCTTTGCATTGCCGTTATGCCTGGCTAAAATACACTCCCTCCACATAGGGGTTGCAATTTTTCAGTTCCTTTAAGGCATAGCTCTTCCAGAAAGCTTTCCTTGACCCACACGCCACCCATGCCCCCTTACACTGAAGTGATCTCTCCCCAGGAGGGTGCTGGCACGTGTTTAACAACTGGCTCTGGGAGTGGGTGGGTACGAAATATACCCACACACACTTTTAGGTTTAATGTGCATTATCAACATTTTCTCCATCACTTTCTTAATTCTAGATGATCAACAAAGCAGTAAGTAAGCCTTTCTGTAGCATTTTGCTGATTTCCAAGGTGTAAATGCTCACACGGAAAATATAACAATTGGGTTCTCAGGGGCTGGTAGGAGCAGGCTCTAGCACACACCTGTGTCTCCCCTTCCTCAGATTTTCTGATAGCAGTTTGCCTGGATCTTTTCTTTGGCCTTATCACATTCTACAGTCATGTTGTTCAGTTGTTTCAGTTGTGCCCCACTCTTTGTGACTCCATTTGGGGTTTTCTTGGCAAAGATACTGGAATGGTTTGCCATTTCCTTTTCCAGCCCATTTTACAGATGAGGAAACAGAAGCAGACAAGGTTACATGACTTGCCCAGAGTCACACAGCTAGGAAGTGTCTGAGGCTAATTTGAACTCAGGTCTTCCTGACTACAAGCCAGGCTCTCTCTCTGCTGGGCAGCTTAGCTGTATCTACAATCATCCTTTGTTGCATACAGGTACATGCCTTTATTTCCCACTCCCATCTTCCAACATCAGACTGTTACCCCTCTGAGGGTGGGGAATATATAATTTTTCATCTCCCCCGGTGCCTCACACATCACCATACTATATCTACCAGTTTCAACCTATTGTTTCCAAGACCATGTGAGATAAGGATACTAGCTTCTTACACCTGCCAGGCTTGTTTGATGGGATCACAGTTGTCTAGGTAATTGAACCGAATGATGTCAGTGGGATGTTTATCAGAAGAACGCCATGGTGGAAGGTCCTTTTCCCCTCGGTTAGTCTTCTTCCTAAATGAGCAGGAGGAATGAAGGGCCAATGAAGGGGTTTGCTTCACCTCTGTAGGGTCATCTGATTCTGTCTGAATGTCAGTAGACATAAAATCATTTTTTGGTGGAGTCTAGGAGAAGAAATGACAGCAATACATGATTACCAATCCATCGTCCAAAATACTAATGTTATATCAATACACATTCTGTCACTGCAACAGCTTATTAACTTATTCAAGAAAACTCACCCACTCCCCAATACTGAGGAACTCCAGTATAACACATATAGAATTAATTTATATTAATTAATTTAAATTAAACTTAATTTTCATAACACAGATTACTCAACCTGAATTAAGCACTTTGAGGATAAACTACCAAAGGTTCAATAGTCTTTCCCCCGTATTTTCTGGTCTTTTAGATAGAGAAGGACCCATTTGAAGCTCTGATGTAAGTATAGTTGTTCAAATGTCCATCCACAGCTGTGTGACCAGGAGTAAGTCACTTAACCTGTTTGAGCCTTGAGGGATGAGGGCTAGGCTGCTGTGTGCTAATTACTGCACTAAGTGCTTCACAAACCCTATCTCATTTGATCCTCAAAACAACACTTTGAGGTAAGTAGTTATTATGATTATTATGATCCTGATTTTGTTGTCATTGTTTTTCAGTTGTTTGCTTCGTGTCTGATTCTTCGTGACCCCATTTGGTCTTTTCTTGGCAAAGATACTGGAGTGGTTTGCCATTTCCTTCTCCAGCTCATTTTACAGACTAGGAAACTGAGGCAAACAGGGTTAAATGACTTGCCCGGGGTCACACAAGTATCTGAGGCTAATTTGAACTCAAGTCTTCCTGACTCCAAACCCAATACTCTTATCTATTGTACTACCTAGCTGCCTTAGTTTCTTCATCTATAAATAGAGGGACAGTAATACCCCTTAGTACCTATCTTATAGGATTATTGTGAGGTTTCAATGAGATACATGTAAAAAGTGATTGCAATTTTAAAAGTACTATAGAAATTCAATAATAATATTCAATATTAATACTCAATAAAATTCAATAATAAGATGATTGTTAGAACACCCTTGGAAAGAGCACCCACACCAAGATCAGATGCATCAAAGCATTTCACTAATCTCACTAGATAACAATTGTCACCAATTGTCAGCAGCCTCCAGCCATTTTTGTTCTTTTTCAGCCCACCCCCAGAAACATTCACCATAATTTGATGGAGATGTTTCTGTGATATTCTGTAGCGAATTTCTGATATTCTCCAGTGTATGATAGAAAGACTTTCTCTCTTCCTCTTTGTGGCAAAAAAAAAATGTGGTAAAATAAAATGTTCAAGACTCCTACAGTGGACTCTATCAATGGGAGTCTCTATTAGTCTGAACTAAAATTGCTCCCAATCCTGTCCCAACCTGCTACTGACCTCAGCTTTGAGGAATCTGGGAGAGTAATTCTCATTTGCATATTATCAGGCAGTGTGGTCTGGAGTTAAAGGCATTAGATTTGCAGTCAGTAGACCTGGCTTTGAATCTTGGCAATGCTCACTTTTTTAAAGGAAGTTTGGGTTAAGAACAACAATAACAAATCACATTTATATAGCATTTTAAAATTTTACAAAATATTTTCCTCACAATATAACCCCAGTTCATCTTTAATGCCCTAAGAATCTATTAAGCATTTGTTATTGTAATAAATGTAGGTGTGTCCTGTTTTGAGAAGAACCTGATACGATCAGAATGTACAAAACAAATAGTTGGGGGTGGGGGGAAGGAGGACCACTTTCTCATAATTGGCTCCCAGGTTTCTCCAACCAGTAAGCTCGCCTTGGGCTTTGAAAATGTTATCTGATTTTCAAAACTTTGATTTGCATATAGCAAATAAGGACATATCTACGAAAATAGATAATATCCTCAGGGAAAATGCTTAGAGTTTTCCTACTGGTTAGCCAAGGGACCAGCTGATAAACACTGGGAGGCTACTGAAGGATTAGGCCAAAGTTATTCCTGGACCATTTCTCTCCTAAAATTGATGATCAGAAGTAGCTAGTTGGTGCAGTGGATAGAGCACTAAGCCTGGAGTCAGGAAGACCTGAGTTCAAATCCAACCTCAGATACTCATTAGCTGTGTGACTCTGGGCAAGTCATTTAACCTCTGTGTGCCTCAGTTTTCTTAACTGTAAGATAAGGATAATAACAGCACTTACCTCCCAGGGTTGTTGTAAGGATCAAATTAGATAAATTTGTGAAGCATTTAGCATAGTGCCTGGCACATAGTAGGTGCTTAAAAATTGCTTGTTTCCTTCCTGAATTAGTGAAAGTTGGATTTTAGAAGAGTTCTTAGAGAAATGATACTGTAGGACTTTCAAGAACACAGAGTAATTCCAGCTATTCACAATATAATTCTTCCTGCTGTTTTAATGAAACGATTAAACAGTTGTGATTAAAAGTGTGTGTTTACATAAAAATACTGATATGAATACAGCAGCAGAACCTAGCACAGTTAATGGTTATTTGAACTGATGAATATGCTAAATAAAGTCTTCTCTCCTTACTTATATTACAAATGTGTTCAGCAAACCTTTTCTTCACAAAGAGTACAATATTAAAAGATCAAGCCCATGTAGGTAGAATTATCAAAAGCTCAAAATTTTGTTGACTCTCTGTGAGCCCATTTGAGGTTTTCTTAAATATACTGGAGTGGTTTGCCTTTTCCTTCTCCTGAGACAAACAGGGTTAAGTGACTTGACCAGGGTCACACAGCTAGTAAGTGTCTAGGGCCAGATTTGAACTCAGAAAGACTCTGACTCCAGGCCTGGCACTCTATCCACTGTGTCACCATAAATGCAGTTGATTTCAGATTATTTCTCTTTTATTAGTAGAGGCAGCACTGGGTACACTAGCTAAGAGTACTGTCTTAAAAGCAAAAAAACCAAGAGTTCAAATTTTGCCTCTGATACTTAGTTGTAGAACCCTGAACAATTCACTTAACCTATCTATATCTAGTAATGGTTTAGCCAGGGGTGGGGAACCTGGGGCCTTGAGGCCACATTGGCCTTCTAGATTTTCAAGTACAGCTCTTTGACTGAATCCAAACTTCACAGAACAAATCTCATTAATAAAATATATATATATATATTCTTGGACTTGAACTCAGTCAAAAGGACCTAGAAGGCCACAGGTAGCCTTCGGATCAGAGGTTCCCCACCCCTGGTTTAGTCATAGTTGCAATCTGCCTTGATGGAGGGAGTTCTCACACTAGGAGCCCCCTTATAAATTATCCACAGTTCCAATGACAGAATTGCCTGGTGCCCAGCTGGTTTTAGTTCTAAGTATCGAAGAATCTTGTTGCTGGGATAAGTGCATACTGCTGTGCTGTGTAAGAGTCTTGATTACTGAAAATTGACAGGTGGCTGAATAGTGATGAATAGTTCTCACTGATCAGAAGCTATAAACCACTGGGTTTTATCACCAAAATATTGAAAATCAACAACTTTCAGCTTGATTCTATCACATTTTTAGTTCCAGTTCTCTTTAATGATATATGAAGTCTTCTGTTTGCTGCTTTTTCTTCCCATCTACCTTGGGCTTAGTAATGTGAAGTTCTTTCACCATCTCAATATAGTGCTTCTTCCACACTCCCTGCTCAAATGGAGTTGGAGAGAAATTGATGCACCAGTTAAAACGCAAACACTTGGGCATCCACAGCTGATCCAATTCAGCCAAGTTCTTCCAGTGCCAGCTCACCTGAAAAAAGCAAGGACAATGTTAGTCCCTAGCCCCCCTTTCAGGCCTGAGCCCTTCACCTAATCTCGAACCGACCTGGAACAGCCTTTCCATTTCCCCAAAGCCCTTCCCTTCTTCAGAATGAAGTCTTGTGGTCACCTCCAACATGAAGTCTTTCTAGATTGGGTGTTCTAAACCTTTTTTGGAGTCATGGACAACTTCTGGCCATCAAGTGAAGCTCATGGGCCCATTAACTACATTCAAAATTGCAAAAGAAATGCTATATTAGTGAAAATAAATATGTAATTTTTTTTCTCATCCAAGTTCGTAGACTCCTTGAAATCTACCCATGGACCAGGTTAAGTAGCGCCGTTCCATGCCAAAAGAGAAAAGGAGGGAGAGGGAGAGAGAGAGAGAGAGAGAGAGAGAGAGAGAGAGAGAGAGAGAGAGAGAGAGAGAGAGAGAGAGAGAGAGAACATCCTTACTGCCTTGACTAATTGACTGGCCCACTGTTGCCATACAGATATATATCTGTATCATTACTTCTACAGCATAGATCCTATCTTACTTGGTAGGGACAGTATATTTTATTTTCTAGCCTCCCTTCCCAACCCCCATCTTCCTGCCAAAGCCCTGTGGCTGAGTCCCTGCTAGCCTGCGGGTACTGAACAAACACTGACAGAGGCTGTCCTGTGTGTGGGAGTATTTACAGTAAAGACAATAGGCTGCAGGTTTTGAATGGGTCCATTGACAAGTAGGGGGCAGTTCCAAAGATCATATAGCCTCTTTGTTCCTGCAGAGCCCTGAGACCTTTGCTAATTGTCTCCTTCCTCCCCTCCCCTCCCCAGAGATTTATAGACTCTAGCTGCAGGAAAACACCACCTCTCCTCCACTTTTTAAAAAGCCCTCCCCATTTCAAGATGAGCTAAATTAAAATTACCAAAATTCCAATCAATCAGCATTTAAAAAAACCAACACAGTGTTCAGAGGCAGTGGAGGGAAATATTAGGCATTAAGGGAAGATTAGAAAGAATTCAATACTTCAAAAATAAAAAGTGGGGAAAAAAAGTGATCCAAAAGGCAGAAGAAGAAAAGGGAGATAGCGGGGGAGGGATGGGGAAAGGGAGCATTGGGTTGGGGTGGGGGGAGAGAGAAGGATTCTAACAGGGAGGCAAGAGAGAAGAGAAACCACATTCCAAGCCGGTTTGACCTGGAGATGAAATGGAGCCCAGCCCCTCCTCACTAGCCTCTCAGCAGTGAAGCAAGAAGTTTTGAGGGAAGAGGAGGCAGGCCAACCCCACCAACCTGTCCTCCTACTTATTTCTGGACTTTCAGAGAGTTTGGAACTTAGGTTTTTTTTTTTTCTTTTGGCCTCAGGGAATAATAGGATTTTTGTAGGTAAAGGGGCAAGGGTAACGGTAGAACAAAATGAAACTCAGCTTGCCTCTCCCCTCCTTCGCACTCACAGTGCAAACAAACACTCCAGAGAGACTTCTGAGTTGGGTCTGCAACCTGACTCCAGAAACCAACGGGGGGGAGGAGTTGAGGAAGGCAAATATCTAAAATTAGATTTCTGCCTACAAAACATAAGCTTCCCCAGCCGCCATTGGTAAGGTTACTTTAAAAGTTAAATCCTATAGCCAAATACAGTAGGTTCTATGAAAGCTGTTTATAAGATGATTTATTTGTGTTTTTTTAACAAAGCAGTCCTTATGAGCATAGATGACTCAGTTAATCAATGCATCTGCTTCACATCCAGCTAGACTACTGTCTACCTGTGGTTTATCAGCCTTCACCGAAGGAAAGTCAGTATGAAGTGGATATTTAGAAGAGCTTGACTATGTTGAATATACAGGCATTAACATGAAAGTTTTGGTTTAAACATTTATACAGTTAGGCCTATAACTAAGTGTTAAGTTATGTAAGATGACTGCTTCTCATTTTACTAGAGACTAATTAATGTTAGATTACTGATTATAATTTTTTGATATCTTAAATAGTTTACTTCAGAGAGTAAACAGCTTCAACCTTTTTTTATTAAAAAGAGCTGTCCATACCAAAAGAATAAGGCAGGGATGAGCAGAGAAGGAAAAATATTGCCCGCTCCCCTCAATTATCACCATTTCCCTAAAAGTTTAACTTAGCTAAGCGTACGTACTAGGCACTTAATAAATGCTTATTTATTGATTGGTTGGTTAATTAGCTGATGTAAAAAACATCACTACATAGAGCTGTGAGAGATGATCTCTCAGAAGTGAAGCCTCCTCAGGGGGTCAATGGTTCTTGTTAATAGTTCTTGATGGTTGCTTTCAAAACCCTCCCCCTGCTCAGACCCTGTTTTTAAATGCTTAGAAGAAAGAATAGCCCTGCCCCCAACCTGAACTGCTTGCCCTTGAAAAGCTTCCTGCCTTTTCTTGTCTCTGGGCAAAATCGTGTCTCCATGAATAGATTGTACCCCCTGAAAGCTCAGCCAATGGGATAAGGAGAAGGGGGTTAGGGAGGAGGAGCTCGAGTTAGGGTATAAATAAGCCTTGATTTCTGTACCTAACTCATACTCTGTCCTGGCCAGCAATGGCAACTAGGAGCAGTACCCTTTCTCACAAGAAAGCAATAAACTCCTTTCTACTTTCAAGGTATCTAAGTCTTTGTTTTTATTTTTGAGTAAGTGGTCTCTGTCCCACACAGAGCAGACCAGAAGAAAGTGCTTTAGCCAACAAACAGCTGATTTCCTTACCTAGTAGAAAGATACAACCAAAGGCAACATAGATTTAGAATACAAACTCATCTGTAAAACACCATGGAGGAAGATAGCAGAATATTGTGTGTAATATTGCCTCATCAAACATTCAAAAATAGTGGAAGCAAAACCAAGTCAACAAAAAGCTTGTGAGACCCAAGTGAGTCACCCAAGCGTATTCACGCAAACTAAATTGGCAGTAAGATAACAAATAGATGGAAAATGGAACAGATTTGTTAAGGTATCTACGAAGAAACACTAAACACCAAACATGGTAGATTCTATGAAGAAATATTAAACATTAAACACAGTGGAATTACTGTATTTGAACCCTGATATGTCAGGCCCCGAAACAGCATTTAAGATGATGAAGCTGGGAGAAACAACCAGATCAGCCCAACTATACACAGAGGAAATCTGTTTCTCTCTTGGAAGCAACATAATCTTTAATTCAATTCCATTCCATTAAATGCAACAAGTACTTATTAAGTACCTAGCACTCTGATGGTATGTACTAAGACAATGTAAACAAAACAAAACACAGAAGATGTTACTATTCCCCAAAATGCCATCCAGAAATCATTGGCTATGACTGATTTGTAGGCCTACTTTCTCTTTATAAAATCCTTATGAGAATAATCAAGGATATTATTGGTGAAAATATGAAAGGGAAATAGTCATACTTTCACAATGATTTTCTATAGGAGATGGTATCTATATAATCATGAAAGATATAAAGACCACAAAATCCTACTATATTTATTGTTTGCTGATTATCAAAAGATACCATATTTGACTTTGTACCAATTAATTAATCAACAAGCATTTATTAAGCACCTGTTCACGTACTAGGTACTGTACAAGGCACAGGGGATACAAACACAAAACAGTTAACCAGCTGCAGAGCACAAAGCATTCACGTTCTTTGGGGGAGATGATATTTACACATACATGTTTAGGTAAGATATAAATAAAATAAATACAAAAGAATTTCTGGTGGAAGGAGCACTAGAAGCCAGGGAGATTAGGAAAGGCCTCATGTATCAGGTAACTTGTGAGTTGAACTTTGAAGTAGATGGAGATCAGGAGGGAGTGAATTCTAGGCATGCCTAACAGCCTGGCTAAAGTCATGGAGACAGGAGATGGGATGTCCTATGTGAGGACCAACAGGTTAGTTTGGCTGGAGGGTAGAGTGTGCGTTGGAAAGGAAATGATGTACAGTAAGGCTGGAAAAGTAGGCTAGAGCCATACTGTGAAAGGCTTTCAATGCTAAGCAGAGGAGTTGCTATTTGATCCTGGAGGTAATGGAGCTCCAACCTACCTTTTTAGGTTTACTAGCTGTTGTTCCCCTTTACTTACTCAGTGCTCCAACCTAAGTAGCCTTGGTGTTTCTCACATGTGATAGTCACCTCCATGCATTTGTACTGGCCTGGAAAGCCTTTCCTCTCACTTCCACTTCTCAGACTCCCTAGTTTCCTTCAAAGTTCAGTTTAAATGTCATCTGCCATTTGAAGCTAGGCCTATACTTACCAATTGCCAGTTGTTGTTCAGTTGTTTTTCAGTCATGTCTGACTCTTCATGACCCCGTCTGGGGTTTTCTTGGCAAAGATACCAGAATGGTTTGCCATTTCCTTCTCCAGTTCATTTTACAGATGAGGAAACTGAGGCAAATAGGGTTAAGTGACTTGCCCAAGGTCATACAGCTAATAAGTGTCTGAGGCTATATTTGAACTCAGGAAGATGAGTCTTCCTGACTCCAGGCTCAATGCTCTATCCACTTTACCACCTAGCTGCCCCAACTATCAATTTGTTAGTGCTTCTCCACAAAAGCTACCTTGTATTTATTTTGTACATAATTATGTGTGTACATGTTACCTCCCCTGATAGAATATAAATTCTTTGAAGACAAGAATTGTTTCATTTAGAGGTTAGTAAAAATTAAGATGTCATTTTTTTCCCATCTAAGTTCATAGACTCCCTAAAATCTATCCACAGATTTCATCCACGGACCCCACATTAAGAACTCCTACTAGAGATGATGAGGTCTTATAGATGTTGCTGCTTCCAGATAATATTGTATTGATTGCATCACGCAATATTACAGGGATTCCTCAAGGAGATCCATGATTACTCACAGGATATTGAACTAACAATAAAAGAAAAAAAAAGTGAAGAATGTTTGTTGTCCGGTTTATCACATATGATGGATGGTCACTCTATTGAGTTAATTCATCAGCACATACGTTTGGGACACATAACTATAGGTAAGTGACTTGGGCCCAAA